AATTGAGGCCAAAATCCCTGTTGCTAAGTGAAACATTTGTTAAATGAACTTTGCCCTATTTTATGACCTCTCTTGCCACAGTTGTTAAGTGAATCTGGCTTCCCCAATGACTTTGCCTGTCAGGAGGTCACAAAAGGTGATTGCATGACTCCAGGACACTGCAGTGGTCATAAATATGAGTCTGTTGCCAAATGTCTGAATTTTTATCATATGACCATGGGGATACTGCAAGTTGTGGAAAACGGTCTTTTTTCAATGACATTTTAACTTTGAACGGTCACTAAGTGAACTGTTGAAAGTCAAGGACTAACTGTATTGCTCTCCTGAGAAGAATCTTCTTCTATAGCTGTTATGTGCTTTACAGAAACCTTTCCACAACTGGGGGCTTTGCATCAGATACAATATTTTCTGTGCCAACAGTCTCACAGTTATCCATGCTGCAGTCACTTCCCATGTTGCAATGCACTCTACATGGGGCTGCCCTTGAAAAGTATCTGGAAGCTTCAATTGATTCGAAATGCAACAGTCCTCATAGTTTTGTGCAACCTTCCTGCAGAAGCTACATTAGCTGCAGGTTTGCTTCTGGGATCAATTCAAGGTGCTGGCTGTCACTTTTAAAGTTTCACATGGCTTGGGACCAAGTTGTTTGAAGGACAGTCTTTTCCCATCATATCCCAGTCATAAGAGCCGTGGTGGCTCAGTGGTTAGAATGCAGTACTGCAGGCTAACTCTGCCACTGCCAAGTGTTCCATCCTAACCAGCTCAAGATTGACTCAGCCTTCCATTCTTCAGAGGTTGGTAAAATGAGGACCCAGATTGTTGGGGGCAGTATGTTGACTTTATAAACCGCTTAGAGGGGGCTGTAAAACATTATGAAGTGGTAATATAAGTCTAAGTGCTATTGCTAATGTTATATCTATGTGTCCTACCAGAGTGGGAAGACAGGCTATGCTATGGGTCCCCTCTTCTAAGGCAATCCATCTAGCAGGACCAAGAAGAAGGACTATGGTCACTTGTCAATGATGGTTTCCTCCCTGTGGAATATTATCCCAGCAGAGATAAGATTGGCCCCACATTGATACTCTCTCACAAGGCCTTGAAAACATGGTTCTGCCAATGGGACCTACAGTGATATGGAACCCATCAAATGGCTTCTCTGATTGTTGTCACCAGGCGGTGGGGGGTTATTGCTTTTTGTATTGGGGTTTTATCCTTATAAGCCAATCAGAGTCAGGCTGAGTTGGGCGGGCATATGCATTTTCTTAAATAAATAAACAAAAATAAGAAATCAATGTGGATCCTCTAGAAAGATTCTTTTCAGCTTGAAAAGTTTATTATTAACATTTCCCATAACATTTGGCCATGATTCCGAACTTGTCATTCAGGCTTGCATTAGCCTCAGAAACAATATATTAATAACAAAATTAACATTATTATTAAAATATATTTCATAACCTCATACACTAGAGCAGTACTTCCCAAATGTAATAGAATAGAATAATTATATTGTTATTTTGAATATATACTAATCGCATACAATAAAATGAAATTTCATTGCATACAGCTCTCAAAGGGTGTATGCACACACACACACACACACACACACACACACACACATTGTATCAAATTTATATTTGTTGATAAAGAAATAAAGAGAGACTAGTATAGATCTATTTCAAGCTATTTAGCTCTTATCAGATAACATCATTTGACAGAAAAAACACTTAATCTCTCCCCTGGCTCAGCTGATAAAGGGAGAAGAACTTGTGGCTCAGAAGTTAATACAACTGCATAATATGCAGGCAGCCCAAGTTCGAATCCGAGTAAGGGTATGGCTAGCTGATGAGACCTAAATAGCTTGAAATAGATCTATACTAGTCTCCCTTTATTTCTTTATCGCAAATATAAATTTGATACAAAATAGTTTGTCGTGAAAGAGGGCTCCTGGATTGGAACTGAAAGGAAAAAGGGAAGCAGTATGCTGCCTCCCATATTGGGATAGACAAGGTGCTTCGACAGAAAAAACACTTTATACACCCACATATATTATATGACACAGAGAAACAACACAGTCTCGTTCGGACATACATGTACATGGAGAGAAAAGTGAATCTTGTGAGTTTACTTGACGGATGGCATAGGGAACAAAGCCATTACAGAATCTGATAGTCCAGCTATAAATACTTTGAAACCTTCCCCCAGACGGGAGCAGCAGAAACAGAGAGCGTGAAGTCAGTGTGTGGCAGAGGTGGGTTTCAGCAGATTCTGACCAGTTCTGGAGAACTGGTAGCGGAAATTTTGAGTAGTTCGGAGAACTAGTAATAAAAATTCTGACTGGCCACGCCCCCATCTATTCTCTGCCTCCCAAGTCCCAGCTGATCGGGAGGAAATGGGGATTTTGAAGTAACCTTCCCCTGCCATGCCCACCAAGTCATGCCATGCCCACCAAGCCACACCCACAGAACCGATAGTAAAAAATTTTGAAACCCACCACTGGTGTGTGGGGTCTCTAACAATGCTTTCAGCTCTAAGCACATAGCATTTATAACCTGGGCAAACTACTCAAAATTTGATAATAAAAGTGGTGGGGGTTTTGTATGTTTGTGTGTATGTGTGTGTGTAATGGCCCAATCACAACAGGGGCATTTAAATAAGGAATTTCTGATAAGCTGTTTTGAGTAATAAAGGAAATAGTTTGGAAAGCGCTTCTCTAGAGATTTTGCAAAAATTGTAAAATGTTTATCTCCTATGAAGTATTATTCTTGAACTTAGGCTCCAACTTTATATAGTACTGGTAGTCTGACTTAGAACCATTTGTTTAGCAACCAAAGTTACAACAACACTAAAAAGTGACGTAGGACTGATCTTCGCACTTATGAAGGTTGTAGCATCCCCCCATAGTCACATGATCAAAATTCAGGTGCTTGGTATGTATTTACAATGTTTGCAGCATCCCATGATTATGTGATCACAATTTGGGGCCTTCCCAATTGGCTTCTAACAAGCAAATTCCCTTAATGACCATGTAATTTACTTAACAACTGCTGTGATTTCTTAACAATTGTGACAAAAGAGATCATAAAATCGGGCATGACTCACTTAACAATTGCATTGCTTAGCAATGGAAATACTGGTCCCAATTCTAGATGTAACTTTAGGACTATCTGTGTATTTTTTGATGCATGAACACATTGATGGCATAGGATCCCCAGTGGTCAATATAAGATGGAAGACTATATAAAGGCTTCAAATAAATAAAAATATTTACCTTATTATAATCCCATTATGACATTTGACACCTCCAAAAATAACATTCACTTTCATTTCTTAAAAAGTAAACTCTAATCTGCTGGTGATGCTTCTGCTTTAAATAATAATAACTTAATAATGAATCACAAATTTTGATTTTACCCCAAAATATATATTAAGATTTTGCACTATTTTGTTTGATCCAGCACATTCTTAAGTTTTTGCTATTACCCACATGTAGGTATTATACAAAACTTTGGCATAGATTTTACATGGACATCAAATGTCAAGATTTATAGTGAGTGGACTTTGGAGGAAATATATTTACAGGAATCCTGTATCAGGAATGCAGTTTCTTCTGTTTGAGTAATGAACTGGATTAGTTGTTTTGTATCTTTTGAGGTTTTTATGGAAAAATATGTGGAAGAAAGATTATACCAGGTGGTTTGCTCATTCTAAAAATTAACGTTATAGGGATTACTTTAACAATGTGCCATCTCCTTAACACAAACATTTTTGGTATGATATATTTCATTCTGTTTCATTGGCACTTGTTTCATTTGGACTAGTCTGCATTTAATATGCTCTGTGTTCTGATCAACATGTATATGTATGTATATAATACAAATACACCTGCTTCCCTCCTTTCTAAATAAATTCACCACAGAGACTTGGCTTGAAATTCAACAATGGGAATTTGGAACAAACTTTAGCACAATTCTTCATTTTATTACCCTTTGGAGCCTAAAGGAAGCCTATTTTGTAGCTCAAAAGCATCAGATCATTTTCTAGAAATGCAAAGTAATCTAAATGTGTTCTCTCAGTATATGTACTAACTTCACTGCTTTCTCTGATCATATTGATTTCTGCTGTTTGAATCTGGGCTGCTAAATCCACTTGACAAACAAAATACATTCCACATATCAGTAACAGCAAACTGTTAATTTCAGCTTTCAGCTTGCTTGTTCTGTTCCTACAGGCAAATTATTAATGATGAAAAATGAAAATTATTTGGATGGAAGTAATAGAAAAGCAATATCACATTTCTCTTGTGGATCATAACATTTTATTAGCATTAGTCTACTCAGCGAAATGGTTTGTTGAACTTTACATCACATTACTGAGAAAATGTATCTGTAAAAATTATTTGTAAGGCGATCACATGATCATTACATACATCCTGCTATCCTGTGAGGCTGATTTGAATTTTGTAATAAATGAAATTCTGATGACATGCTAAGATATATATAAGCATACAAACACAGCATTCCTTAAGTCAACACTAAGCAACCTAGTGTTTTCTTGAGATATTCACTTCAACTACCACAGCCCTTTACTATTGGCTTGGAAAAAAACATGGAAGGATACATACCCCTGACTAAAGAGTGGCTTTCATCTTTTGAATTGTAGTGAGGGGAGAGAATTAGTTAGTGCAATAAAATCTTGTTATAGTATACCAACATCTTGGTTTTGACCATATTTGATGATTGTTACCCAGTCCCCCCTCTCCTCTTTCTGGTGCAGCCTATTAAAAAAGGATGGGGATCAAATTACAGGATAATCAGATTATCTGGACCCTTTTTAGTTGGGTTTCAGATCTGGGCATATATCAGAGATAGACAGTTGTTGTTGACCTTTGAGCAATATGGAATGTGCTCCTTCTAGTTCTATAGATCTCTCAGCTACCTTCAGTGCTATTGAACATTACTGTATATTCTTCTGGATTTCAGTGAGAGTCTTGAACAAGGGCACTGTTTTACAGCAGTTTTACTCCTGTGCAGAACAGTGTGCAGTTCTAGTCAATAGCTGGGATGGAAGAAAGATCAGTTCACTGGCTGTAACCTGTACAGTGCCATAAGGTTCAGCCTTCTTCATGCTGCTGTTTAACATCTGCAACAGACTGCTGAGAAAGTTTGGAGCGTGGTATCATCATTTTGTTAACGATTCCTAACTTTGATATACGTTGCCATACCGGAATGAGCCAAAGATGTTGTTGAAATCTTGTCCTGTTGTCTAGAAACTCTTGGGCTCTGAATATGAAGAAATAGGAAGAAAATGAACCCAAGCAAGAGAGATGTGCTATTTGTTCTCTAATGGCCCAGAGTGGTCTCTTAAAGACACACTACCTCGGAGGGAGCTGTTTGCTTTTGTAGATTACATTTACACAGCTTGTTCTATGAATCCCAACTTCTCCATCGCAAAGAATCTTGAAAGCAGCAGTACTTTACTTACCAGCCAACAACAGCATGAAGTGATGAGCAATCATCTTCTTCTGCCTGGGTACTGCTGCTGTCTAGAGTATCATCTACCTGTGAATAACACAGCATGAGCTTGTGCTATATGGTCCATCTGAGATGCAGCAACATCACTGGCCATGTTCAAAGATGGTTAGGGTGAGCCTCTGTGGTGGCTCATTGTGATGAGATACATACATAGAAACCTACTTGGTGTCCCAATGACATCAAAATGCTGTTGCAAAGGTCATTATCCATATTACATAATTCTATTATTGACTGTCTCTCCTCACCTCTCAACCGTCGTGCAGATATCCACAACCACATGGATCTTTTAAGCAATGCTGAAATGGTGCAGTGGGGACCAGAGAGATATTTAAGTGTGATAGATTGGGATTGTGAAGGGGGAGATTGTATGAATTTTCCAAGGAGAGAGCACATTCCATGGAAGGGGAGTGGGTGAGACAAGAGGCAACACAAGCCAGAACTGGGTCAGAGAAAGAGGAAGAGGTTTAGAGTAGCTACTCCCCACTTCCAGTGGTCTGGAAGATAAATAAGGGACTAGCTTCAGTCATCTCCAGATAGCAAATTGAGAAATTCCAGCAAGGAAAAAAATATTTTATTAAAAAATTAATTACTTCACTGTTTGCACGTACAGTAGAAAGGAACTCATTGCTCACTCTTTCGCTCAAAACATAGGTTGATGAGTAAGAGATATACTGCCAGGCAACTATTCCCAAGAGTGATCATACCTTAGTTTGGATTACCTAAAATAGAACTAAATCCATCAGCATGCTTTCCTCTGGCCCATTCAGGTAGCACAGGAATGATACTGGCAAAACCAACTGATACTGATAGTTTTTTATTCAATGATCTGCTAATCACATAACTGTGAAAGAAGGCAGGCATATCTGCAGAAGAGAAACCCATTCAGGAACCTGCTCCCTGGTTGCTGCTGCTGTCGGTGGAACATTGACCGAACAGCCCACCCATCTCCATTTGACTTGACTAGGAATGATGACCGGCAGGCTAAAAAATAAACAATATGATCAAACAACCCAATTTTAAATCTTAACACCATGTAGTAACTCAAAACATCTGGAATATTAGCACAAATATTAAACTATTAATATTTAAATATTAAATATTGTTTAACTTACTAAACAAAATGTTAGAAAATGTGTTTTATTCTATAGAAATTGTAGCAGAGGATTATTAAATAGCCATACAGATTGGTAGCAGAGGATGGTTACATAGCCATACAGATTAAATAAAATGTACCGGGTACAGTCAGTCCCCATGGGCCTTGCTGCTTAACAGTTTCAACGGTCTCAGGAAACTCTCCTCAGAACATAAAGAAACCATAGATTATAACCATAGAGGCACACTAAACACTGCCATCTCCTGGCTGATTAATTCTATAGTCGTTGCAATACAAAAGACATTCTAACCATGAATTCCAACACAAAATAAGTTTTGTCTCAAGGAATATCAGAGGGGTGGGATCATTGGAAGTGAGACTCTTGCTGTCTTAATCTATCTTGAACTTGGATACCTGTTCAGGCTGCTCTGGCCCCTGGTTTGGCCTCATGGAAGTAAAGAAAACTTTGTTGTAAGCTTCCTTCTGCTAACTTTTGCCTCTCTCCTGACTCACCTGTCCCTCCTCCATATGTTTCTATGAACTGTAAATTGAAGGCCTTTCATCATCCAAGTCTTACAACCTGTTTGAGAGGTGAGATGTTGGGGTCTTTGGCTTAAAAGGAGGAAACATGCCAGTGGCACATGGAATGAAGGAAGGTGCCGTTAGATGCTGTAGTCCAAGATCAGGAGCACTTTTTCAAAGTAACACATTTTATTCAAAGGCATAAGGTTTCATCAGCTCTACAGCATCTGAGGAAAGGATCTGTAGCTCACAAAAGCCTTTTAATAAGATGTATCGGTCTGAAAAAGTGCTACCAGGCTGCTGCTCCTGATTTTGGCTGGTGGCACAGTGACTGATGCGGTTGCCAGCAGATTATCTGTCTCCAAGCAATCATCAAAGCAGATTCAACTTTAAGGTGCTTTTGTGCAGGAGAATTGAGGAAGGAGTAGTGGAAAACACATTGGAGTAGCAGTTTCAGTAAGAGTGAGATATAGACGTTGTGGCAGGTTTGCAAGCTATTACAGGAAAGGGTAACCTTCAGTTTAGGAACTGTTTTCCTTTTTGGTTGCCCTGGCAACTGTGAAATCTCAGGGAGCAGTAGAACTGCCTTCAGAATTTTGCCTTGCTTTTCTGTAAAGCCAGATCAGTCAGACTATAAAAGTAAAATCATCCCTGATTTGATCATGGATGAAGGAGCCACAGGTGGGGGAGTTAATGCCCAACATAGGCTCAGCTTTTTTCTATCAAGATAATACGTTAGGTCCAGGTAGTTCTTGACTTAGAATTGTTCATTTAACAGTAGTTCAAAATTATAATTGCCTTAGAAAAAGTGATTTACGATCTGTCCTTCAAGTTAAGATTGTTATCTGCCCCCCCCCCCCCCCCGCAGTCATGAGATCACAATTCAGGGGCTTGGCAACTAGCTCACATTATGCTGGTTGCAACATCCTATCGTTATGGAATCCCAATTTGTGATCTTCCCAGTTCATTTCTGACAAGCAATGTGAATTGGGAAATCGGATGCACTTGTCAACTTTGTGATTTGCTTAATGACTGGTTGCTCAAAATGGTTATAAAATTGGGTCTGGTCATGGGACGATTTGCTTAATGACCACATCACTTAGTGATCAAAATTTCAGTCCCAGTGATCTCCTCTCCCTCCTCTGCTCTCCATTCATTCATCTTTTTGCTTATTATATTGATGTATTTATTCTCACTGTATTTTTTGTCATTGTTTATTTATTGTTCTATTATTTTACTTCTATTTTGTTTATACTTTTCAGTTTTTTTGTAAGCCACCTAGAGTAGCCCAACTGCAAGATAGGTGACAATTAAATTTAACAAACAAATAAGTACAAATATATACTGTCTCTTTTATTAGTTTCCGTGTGAGAGACCTAGCTGTTTCAACACAAAACTCTTGGTTTGGGACTTTATAGTGGCATGGAAGAAATGGTCCTGTCTCAATCCTGAGATAAATACTGCTTGTCATATGTTCAATTTCGTCTTTTGTTTAAATTAGGATTAAGGTTGCTTTGTAATTTCAATTGATTTCTTCATAGATATTCTTTTTGCAGTGGCCTGTCTTGGAAGAATATTAGATCAAAGGAGATTCCATGAGATCTTGGAGGTTTTAGAGTGGTTTTGGCTGATAATACTTTCAGTGACCTGATGGGTGTCTGGGACAAGAGAAATTAGAGCAATTCGTATAATTGCTTTTAAGCATAATTTCCAATGTGCTTTAAAATCAGGGCTATGCTTAAGTAGTAAAGTAAAGGACAAGGATGCAAATGAAGGAGGAGTTTTATCTAATATGATAATATATAGCACAGAAAACTATGTTTTGACAATATGCAGCAAAAATATGCTGAATCAGCTAGTTCAAATTCAGCTGAGCATGTTTAGGCTGTTAAGGGCTTAATTTTAGATCCTTTGATTTCAAATTTGCTGTAGGAAGCTATGCTTATTTCCAGATCAAACATCTGATATCTCGGTTGGCCTGGGCTCCAGTATTTCTGCAAAGTCAGCTAAGAGATATCCAGAAATCTTTCTTATAGGATTACTTTAGATCTGTTTCAAATTATGATCCTTGAGGATACAAATTTTCTCTGGAATCTTGCACAAAATGGGGAAAGAGTTTGATGTAGTGGGTTGCCAGGTGTCCACTATTTGAGCGGACAGTCCGCTTTTTTCACATTATGTTCACTATTTTTTTTTCACAAAGTAGTGGACATTTTTTTTATTCAAAAGCTTTATGATGAAATGGTACGTAATCTAAAGCTGTACAGTCTAAGAGAATAAGGATAGGAGAATCGCGTTTTGTCTTTTTTTTCATAAGTTAGAATGAGAGAAAGATCGAATATCCATTAAACTCGATTCTCCGAAAAAATTAATGATGAGATTAAAATAAAAATATATTATAAAATTATGTACAGTTCACATTTTTAAAATGTATTGTAGCTTGTGTCGACTGACCTAAAACGACGTGTTAAAATGTTTGTAAGAAAATATATAATTTAATTGTAAAAAAATTTTTTATTACTACTTAACATCCCCCCCCCCGCTTGTCCGCTATTTTTTGGAAGCAGACCTGGCAACCCTAGCTGGCAAACTGTACATTGGATTAATGCCAAACATTCTGTATTCAGTTGTCTTTGCACTGAAATCTTACAATTTATTATTTATTGTATTACTTATTTATTAGGAAATTTATACCCTACCCATCTTGCCAACACATGATTGAAGCCCCGTCTTTTCTTACTCGTGTTGCTGGTTTGATGCATTGAAAAAAATGGGCAGGACTTTTATTGCATGGATATGGGCACCATCTTCTCTTTTTGACTCTCCCTCCAACAACTCAAAGAAAACCCCTATTGCATATATTTCTTGTGAGTATCCAGGCAAAATATAAAGTATAAAAAGCTTAGACTCAGTTAATCTGAGATAATATCTCTTTTTCTTTTTGCCTTAATCCCATTGTTCATTAAGAAAATCAGTGGAAGTTTTTGGGCACGATTAGATGGTGGCATGGGAATTGTTTTTTCATCATTTCTCTTGGATTGTAGAAATCCCTCCCTTATGGTTATCAGTTGCTTCTTTAGAGGTCTTTGTCAGTAGTGTAAAAAATGTTTTCACTCTGACTTTTAGTGATTTTTATGATTTTGCAATAATTTAAATACAATGGTTTTTACTAGAATTGATTATTTTGTTTTAATTAAGTGGTTTAAATGTTAATGTGAATTGTGCTGACTCTTTGGGAAGAAAAGTATAGGAATATAATGAATGATTAAATAACATCATTAAGTAACATTAGTTACTTTTCAAGATGGTTTCTATCTGCCTTTCCAGTTGGACAGCATAGGGCATCTTCCTGGTTATATTAATAATGTCAACTAGTGGAGCCTGGAAGATGGAAGTTTTCTTCTATAGCACTTGCCTTCTGGAATATTCTCCTTCTGGAGATCAGGTTGGGCCTCATCGGGTCACTTTCCTACCTGTTCATAA